TAACAGCGCCTTGCTGCCCCTGGGCAGCCCACGTTTCCCGCTTGTCGCGCCTGGAGCCAGCGCGTTGTGTCAGGGAAGGGTAGAAATAGGTATTTTCCCGTTAAAATGGCGAAGAGGCTGTTGCCGAAACGACGGGAATAAACCGTTGGGAAACTACGCTTATGGCTTTTTCACGTGTGTGTTTTACTATGCCATCTGCTTTCTTGGTTGGCTATGCAAATAAACGTATAAACCTCTTCAGCTTTGCTTTATATGCAAAGTCAAGTTTGGGGTTTGTGGCTTTTTCCATGCTGGCTCCATAAAATCCTTTTGTGATTGGCGCTTATTTTTTAGAAAAAAATCCATCCTATTAATAATAAAGAATAAAACTTCACTCATGCTGCATGCGGGAGTGCCGCATTGTTTAATTCATCTTCTGTTGCATGAAAGTCTTGATTCATAGTGGCTAGTTCCAGGATGGAAGCCTTGGAGGGGCTTTTCTATCACTCTCCTCATTTCATAGCAGCACTGTGAAGTCTTTTACGTTTGTAGTTTTCACTTTCACGGTCAGAAGTTGGTTTTCTTCCCCTTCCAGTTTTGCAAGCTCAGTGCTGCTCTCTTAAAATGCTGGTTCCCAGTACTCAACATAGTTCTCAATTTTTCTGGTTTTACTTAGTAAAAACTTTTTCCTTCAGAGACACTTGTGCTTAAGATTTGATGAGTGCTATGTTAATTATTACACTATTTAACAAGTATGTAATATTTGCTTCATTACAGATCTTGGATACAAAAGACCTACAGGTATTTAAAGTGACCGTAAATGGACAGGATGCAAAATTCGTTTTTGGAGAAAAGCACAGTTTCAAGGGGACCCCCCTGGAAATCACGCTTCCTTTTGAACTAAGAAGGTACACACATTCGCCTGTTCCTTTAGGTGGTTTGCAAAATGTACCGTATAAGCTGCTTGTCTGCCTGTAGGCTTGTTGTGTAAAGCTTGCAAAGGAACTTATAAATTAGGGTATTGCATTTATTTGTTATGATCCTGTAAGTGAATTTAATATTTGGCTTTCATTAGAAGTCTTTCATTGAGAGTCTTTGTACCCGTCTCCAGGTCTTATATCATGTACAAAAGGACTTGCTAAAGTAAGTAGCAAAATGATGTGTAATGTATCACAATTTTTCCAGTGCTTCTCATCAGTAATGTTGTTTCTGCTGCAAATACCTGAATTTTGTCATGTCATTTTTCCAGTGCTTCTCATCAGTAATGTTCTTTCTGCTGCAAATACCTGAATTTTGTCACGTTCAGAATTGCTGCAGTGTGGCGCATATGGGGTTACAGACCCTCTTTGCCTTCTTTTATACGAGGGCTGATCCTGCATTTCTGTAGAACTGCAGGTTACCACTATGATTAGATAGAAACATGTTTTCAAATAATAAAAGTTTTATTGTATTGACTACGCTAAGCCCAAATCCCTAAAAACTGGAACTTGAGTTTTGGCAGCATGATGGAGTATGAATCCGTAATCTACCTCTTAAATTGCATGAATTAAAAAGTTGTTGCCAAATTACAATATGTTTTTTAGCAGTTTGCTTTGTGTGTTGTAACTCCATGGTATCTCATGTGCCAAAGCTGAAAGCTGGGATTGTATAAGGAGATTCTCTTGTTTGAATACAATTGTATACTAAGTTGCTTCTTACTGGTTTGTTTTCAAAACTGGTTACTTCCTCTACAAACTCATGTCTGGTTTCTAATTTGTTGTTGTTGTTGTTCTCTCAATTAGTGCAATTTAGAAACACATACAATGTGGAAGAGAAAGGAGTGTCGTACAGTAGCTGTCCCTTCTGGGGAAATGCTTATGATCTGATATGAAACTGAAGAAATGAAGTACTCGAACAAACAGGCCACAGCAGAAACATAGGCCTGTTTCTTTTGTTTGACTTTCACTTTCAGCTTTTTTTTTTATGGCTAGATTTCCTTGTAAGAAAAAAAGCTACAAAGAGGGAGTTATGAGTCGTGATCGTAAGAATTTATAGTCTTCTGTGAGCTATAGTCTCCCATTTAAAAATCAGTAAAACAGTGATAGGAAAGGGTAGGGGTTACAACTGAAAATCTGACTGTTCAGTAAGCAATGTGCCTTATGGTATACAAACTATTTTCTCTTTTCTTGTCAAATATGTACTTTGGAATACTGGTTATAAACCAGATACGTATACCTGGTCAGCTTATCTAGTGTCCAACTCCTCTGATTAGCTGAAGTTTGTTCTGATTTATGGTTGGATTGTTAATTCCAGAGAGTTGCATGTATAACCTGGAACTTTGCAATAACAGAAGCAAGTACTTCTGTGTGCTTTTGGTGTCAGTGATGGTTATGATATGTTCTTAAAAAAATAAGAGTATGCATGTGTCAGGTTTTTTTGTGTTCTCTTGTTAGCAAGCTGGTACCTGTCTTGCACAGAACTGTTAGCTTTTACTTTACACCAGTTCTGAAACCCTGAATAAAATTTGAACATTTTTTATTTTTCATGTTAACCCTATTATTAATAGGGTTTTCCAGTAATTACTATTTTCAGGTTTTTTTTTTTTTCTGCTGAAGGATCATACTTACAGAACATAACATCAGCTGCAAAATCTAAATTGTCTTATTTACAGAATACACAAATCCTATGTTATTAAGGCATGTATGTTCTTATATAGGCTTTATACACTTTTTTGTTTGCTTATTGCAGTGGGTTTTTTGTACTTAAATGTACAATGTTAGATAGGTGTGACAAAACTGTATGTATGTAGCTGGTCCAAATGGTTTAAAGAAAAAGTCCATGTTTTCCTTGAAGAGATAAGAGGAAAAGTTTCTGGTTAGTAAAAACAACAATAGAAGTGTCTTGGGACATTAAAATTGAAATAAACCAGCTAATTTTTACTATCATAATTGAAAGGGAAAAGTTGTTTTAATATGCTACTTGTTCTTATTTTTAATGCTTTTGAGACAGTGCTGCAGATGTATTTTCCAGAAATCTTTGTAGAGGAATTTCAGCAGTGATCAGGAGTCTGACTATATTCTTTATTACACAGGGGACAAGAAGCAATTGTCGAAATCTCTTTTGAAAGCTCTCCGAAGTCTTCAGCTCTCCAATGGTTTACTCCAGAGCAAACTTCTGGAAAGAAACACCCATTTCTCTTCAGCCAGTGTCAGGTTGAGTGGATTAATTTTTTTTTTTTTTTACTTGTTGTTTACATACCACTCTGATTCCCCTGGTTTCCAAAGAGTTGGAGAGGGAGGCTAGTAGGGGAAAGTACAGTAGCCCATAACTTCTAATTGAGTGTGTCAGAGATCCTAAATGAAAACACTTAATAAGTCAGGACCTTGCTGAGTTTTTATTATATGTTTGCAATTTAATAATTCTAGAACTGCTTTACCCTCCCCAGTATTCTTGTTGAAGATCATGCAGTCCTTTGCAATCAATATATGTGGCTATTGATCTGTCTTACCTACCATTATTTCTTTTAGAAAACCCTTAACTATGAAAACTACTATAAGCTGTAAGTGGTCGGAAGTATTGGTTTGTAGATAATGAATTCTCTGGAGGAGCTGTATAGATTTCCAGTATAATATATTAGTCTGATGTAGTTCTGTCCTCTGCATTAGAAAGATTGTTATGTTTTAGCTTTTTTTTTTCCCTCCCTCTCCCCCTTCTTTCCCCCCCCGCTCCAGGCTACCCACTGCAGAGCCATCTTCCCATGCCAAGACACACCTGCTGTGAAACTAACCGACTATGCAGAGGTAGATGAACCTAAGTCACGTGTGTCTAACTAAAGACAACTACTATAATGGGTGAATTTTTTTTTTCGTAGCTGCTGGCATGTGGCCTAAAATAAAAACAGAGAATGTTGACTTTTAGCTTAATGTAAGAGCCAAAACCTGCTTATCTTCCCTGTGGCACTTCTCTAGCTTTACCATTTTCTTTTATATAGATCATTTCTTTTTTCATTCACATGTATCTTTATTTCCAAAAGAAAAAAATGAAAAAAAAGAAAGTGCTGTAATAGAAAAGAAATAATGTTCTTAAATCAGGAAAAGCTGATGTTGTAAGACAACAAAGAGTGATGTAAAGTAAAAATACTTGAAATGACTCTCATACATGCCTTAAGTAATATATTCTGGTACATAGTTAGGGGATCTTTGCAGTCCTGGCATAAATAGTCCGGTTGTTTTAAGGAAGCAAAAAGCGAGATGTGCAATGTGACATTACAATTCAATAGTCTGAAGAAAGTGAAACTGTTAACTTCTGTCAGAAGTAATCCTTAATTAAATATTAAATTTAATTATATTAAATATTAAATCCTTAATTAATAATGAAATATTGCCAGCCTTTAAGACAAAATTTTCTATATGCCTTATATTCTACTTGACGGAGAGGACTTAACAACGGAACAAATCTGGGCTACTCTTTTTGCTGTCGTTATGTACTGTATAATCCTGTGTGCCAGCTGGATTCCTCATAGTCGGGTAACCTTTCAGATATCCGTTCCTAAAGAGTTGGTGGCTCTTATGAGTGCTAATCGCGATGGAGAGATGCCTGACCCAGAGGACAGCAGTCGCAAGATATACCATTTCAGTCAGAACGTAAGTGCTCGAGGCTAGTAAACAGATGGCGAAGGTCTTGTTCCTAACTCATGCACTTCACGGTTACTTCAGATATGGTTTTGATGTCATCGATAAATCGTGTGACTTATGATGGCTCTTTGCCACTATAGAAATATAAGGTAGTATGAATCTACAACTCTGAAAAGTCAATCAGTAGGTGCTGATGATGTTTAGTGGTCGTTTTGGCATTCCCAGAAAAGCCAAATTCGAATTTTGAAAATGTTTAGTATACTCAAAGCTAGTACTATCAAAACCCTTTCTGTCTGCACTGATTCTCGGGAAATAATGCATGGACTTGAATAACATGGGAGTGAGTTTTGGAAAACAGATCCTGCAAATTTTAAGCTTACAAGATCTTAGCAGTGAAGCTGAGTATTGGAACAAATTTTTAACTTGAAGTTAGGCAGATTCTGACAACAGAGGCTTTTTTTTTTTTAAAAAAAAGGTGAAAACTTTGGCTTTTATGGAAAGTATCTCCAGCTAGTTAAAGATTACCGTTCTCACGATGAAGTTTTATTAAATGGTGCAGCTAGTTTAATGATTCCACTGCTCCTAAAGTGGCAGTCTCAATTTACTCTTCTGGCATTTTTGTTCTTGCAGCTTTTTGGGTTACAGTTCTGATGTTTATGGGATCTCTTGGTGAGCCTTGTTCATTTTGCTGAACAAGCAGATAAAATTAACATAAATTTAAAAAAGAAATTGTTTTAGTAAGCTGATCTGGGCTGCTGAAGGACTGAATGACTGCAAGGAGGGATGGAATTGTGTGACTGGAGGAGAGGAGGGGAACCTACTCTGAACTGCAGCAGCTGTTGGGTTGATTTGGCTGCTACGTGAAACCTGAGAGAGGCAAGGGGGAGAGAGGGAGGGGAAAAAAACCTGTTACCTTACGTGTAAGCTCTTCAATATGCAGTGTTCTGCCTTCTCTGTGGAGCCAAAAACATTTGCTACTCTCGGTCTAGTGCATAAGGCGTCTATGTTGTGTGTTATCCAGAGATGTATGTTATCTAGAAATACACTGTTGATAAGTTTGTGGACCTGTAGAAGGAATAACGTTTCGTCTAATTGAAATTATACTACACTTTCTAATATAGAAAACCATTAGATTAATTTGTTAGAAAAGCCATGTGTTTCATTAAACAAAAAAAGTCAAATGCAGTAAACACAAAATACATAAATGGAAAAAGACAAATGCATTAAAAAAGACATACGCATCATCTAATGTACAAAACCATGAGACTGATTTGTTAGAAAAGGCATGTGTTTCCTTAAATGAAAAAGGCAAACGCATCAAACTCTTGGATATGTACATGTGCTGAACTTAGCTAAAACTACTTTTTTTGCTCCTGCATGGCCAGGCTGGTAAGAAGTGTAGTGGAGAGCAGCCTCGGTAAAAATGAATTTATAGCCCAACAGCCATTGAGATTTGAACTTCAAAATTTCAGATTAGCAAACTGGGCATCAAAATATAGGGATATATTGACAGTCTCTTAGTAACTTGTCTATAATACAAGTCAATGGACTTAAATCTTTTTCAAGAATATATTCTGTGGGTTAATATGTAAAATTAAAACACACACAATGATATGGGTATTTTAATAAATGATACGGAAATGGTTTGGGGAGAATAGTGGAATAAAACTTTCTGAAATGTTATCTCCAAGTAATTATGATTTAAAGTCTTACTTATTTGACATTGTTTAGTCAGATAAAATGGAACTTTTACAGGGACGGCTGTATTATCCCCTTTTGTTTCCAAAGCACTGAGAGAAAGCATTTCTCTATAAAGATACTGTAGCTTTGGAATTTTTTTCATTAAAATAACAAATATTTAGGATTTATTTTAATTCCAAACATGGAAATCAAATATATATATTTTGATTTTGCTGAATCTTTTGTATCCACAAATATTCTTGTTTCCTTGAATTCATTAAAGCTCTTCCTGCATCTCTCTCTGTGATACAACTGCCCTTTATCTGAGCAGTGTCTCTTAACTTCTCCTTCCATAAAATTTAATGAAACTGGAATTAATATGGAAAGCTGACTTTCTTATGAACTGTAACCAAACCAATGGCCTTTTTATATGCTTTTATATATGCAGATTTTTTTCAAACAGAGATGGTACTTACAATTTTGTGGCCTTTGTGTGAAACATCTGTGGAAAAAATACTTCTTGTAGATACAGGAATATCGTTTGGGGAGAAAAAACTGTGCCTTATTATAACATAAGGCAGGAAACTATGGAGGAAATGTGCACGCTTCTTTATTTGCATACCTTTGTTTTGCTTTGAATCAGTGGTGTTGATAGCTCACATTACAAATGAGATTTCTTTTTTTCCTCATGTTCTCCACTAGGTTCCCATACCTTGCTACTTGATTGCTTTAGTGGTTGGAGCTTTAGAAAGCAGGTGAGTGTATCTGCACAAAGTATAAATATTGATAATCATAATAAATCTTCAGAGTTATCTTTTTTGTTTCTTGGTCTTTTTTCTAGTTTTAAAAGGTCTTAGACATTCAGTGAACCTGTTTATTTTTATCAAACTGCATGTACCTTGATTCACTCTTACATCATTTTTTCTGTAGAATATACTTTTGCTGTAAGTTAAAGAAATACCATGAAGAGTTTGGAATTGATTGTAACCACTAAGGGCTTTTTCTAGCTCAGAGAATAGTATTGTTTTCCTCAGGTAACAGACAAGCCTCGCCATGTAGAAAAGGCAGAAAATTATAGCTTCAGCCTCATTGCTCATCTGCACAAGGATGTGTTAATCTAGCCCATAATAATGCTTTTATACTAGGGCTTTACAACATTTAAGAATGTGTAAATGTGTTTCCTATTTATTTGTCCCAAACAATGGATGTGTGTGGTTTGTTTTGTTTTGTAAAGCTTTACTTCATCAGTGGAGAGGAAAAAGAGACACTCTGAGTTTCTTCAGCAACATGGCTTACTCATGAGCACACTTAAACATATGCTTTCTGTATTAGTTTCCCATTGAATTATTTCTAGTTCATAGTGTCTTAGTGGCATTTTTACTTTCAACAGAAAGATTGGCCCAAGGACACTGGTGTGGGCTGAAAAGGAGCTAGTGGATAAATCGGCCTATGAATTTGCTGAGGTGGGTAATTAACAAGAAAATGTTTTGTAAACTAACTGTTTCACATAGTATTGGAAAAGGAACAGACTGTAGTTCAGTGTTTTGTTCATCTGTAGCTCTCCTTTCTCTACCTCCCACCCCAAAAAACGCTGCTGTTCTATTGCAACACAAAACTACTACTGAAAATAAATATCGATACAGTCTTGTACTCATTTTGCATGTGGGACATGCCAAGGTGAAAGAGAATGAAGTATGGGAACCATAGTTTATTTCTTGTTCAGTGTTTGCAGTCAGAAATCTTGTTAGAAACTAACGTGAATTCTTGTTTCAGGCTGAAGCTATGCTGAAAACAGCAGAAGATTTAGCAGGACCCTATGTATGGGGACAATATGATTTGTTAGTCTTACCACCTTCTTTTCCTTACGGTGGTATGGAGAATCCCTGTCTTACTTTTGTAACTCCAACACTATTGGTAAGTGTAACACTGATAAAAGTCAGCTTTTCCTCAGGCCTCGCTTATCCATTGAGTGATGGATGTTAATCCACAAATTGGAGTAATCCTCCCCCTAGAAAGAACTGTAAATGTTCCTGCCTCCTTTGGAGTTAGGGATCGTACATGAAACTGCATTAAGTGGTATATTTTGAGGTTTACTTGAACTGACAACTGCCTTGTTTTTTTTTTTTTTTTTTAGGCAGGTGATCGATCTCTATCAAATGTAAGTGCAAAATAGGTTCATGTCTTCAGGTAGAACACAACTTGAAGTTGTATCTTAACTTCCTTTATAATAGATACCTGAAAACTTGGTCTCTTTTTCATTGGGGGAGTTAAAAGTTAAGACTTCTTGTAACTCAAGAAGTCTTACAAAGTGAGTTTTAGTTCTAAGTAAACTCTAGAAAACTGGAGACACATCTGTTTTGTGTAACAAACAGATGAAAATAACATGGGTGCCTGTATGCATAGGGGGCTGACTGAAGTTAGCTGCTCAGTAGCTCTTTTCCCATCCTGTGCATAGAAGTGTTTAAAAACCACAACTGAATTGATCTCATCGAAATTGCTTGTAAGGAACTCCTTCCTCTATATGTCTGTCTATGCACTAGAACTCACATTATGTACAGTTTTCTTTTAAAGTGGAAATCATGAGTATGATTTGAGTAAATTCTGGTTTTTCTGGAAAGTTGAGTACTCTGGATGCTGTTTTATCTCATATGTCTTTCTACTAGACTGACTGATTTACTGCTAAAAAAAAAAAATAATATGATTGTCTTACCCCAAGAATACTGAATTATTTGACGTGGATACTTTTTAATGCTTCATGCATCATTATCCTTCTAGAGGTGACTGTTTTCTTCTTGTTTGATATTTTAGAACATCCCAGCACTGCAGAAGTTGCTTAGGTGGGAAAGTAGTACTATTCCATCCCTTGGCATGGATCCAGCATTCTGAAATGGCATGTCGTAAACAAGTACCTGCACCGTGGTACCAGAGGAATTATTTTTGTTGACCAGTGTGGCTCTATGACTTGCAGGCTGGACATTCAAAATTATTTCTGGAGAAGGTTCGGTAGGATAGTGTTAGTCCTCTAAATAAAATTTGTATGGCTAAGTTTACAGAGCTGTGAACACTAACTGGCTTTGGGAATGTAGTGCAGTAAATGAGATCCAGTTAGGATTTTTTTTTTTTTCTGTTGGGATTTGATGTTCATTTTCCAGAGGAGTCTAAACGGTAGATCTGTCATTGTTTTCTGTTTTAGGTTATTGCTCATGAAATCTCTCACAGCTGGACAGGAAACTTAGTAACAAACAAAACATGGGAGCATTTCTGGTAGGTGTAATGTTCAATGCAATGCAAATCATATTTTAAAATTAATCTGTAAAGAGACCAACTAAATTCATTTTGCCATCCTACTAGGGTGTCGTGGTTTAACCCCAGCCGG